CACAGAACAAGTGACTGATGAGCTGAAAAGAGGAGCCTGTTGTTCGGCGATAAAATGGAGTGAAATGAGCTACGTCTCCTGCATGAGACCCCGACTCATTATCTAAACGATTCATTTCATTTTTTACTTTTGCCAATATCTGACATCTAGAGCTCTTATACTGTAAATCATGGGTTTGTGAGTTGTAACGTCATCTTTACTGACACACGTAAACCCAACAGATCAGTTTTCGATTCTCACGAAGATCATCTTTGATTGAGTGTGACAAAGTCCTCAGAAATCAATGACCCTAGATTTTCCTCTCAGAGCACTTTGACTTTTATTTTTTGTCTCGATCAAACTGAAACAGACTGATCTGCTGCCTAATATAAGGTCATAACCAATCAAGCTTTGACATAAAATATTCGTTTGGATGCTTTCATCCAAACTGATGAAGATGAAAACGTGGGAGTTTGACCATCCCAGCAAAAGAATGTAACATCAGAGACGTCAACACAGGTCTTTATTTCTACAGGGCAAAATAAATCTATTTTTATATTCAATTCAATTCAATTTATTTATCTAGCTCCAAGTCACAACAGAAGTCATCTCAGGGCACTGAACAGAAACATTCATATATACGTATATACGTAAGTTAACAACATTAATTATCTGAGGAGCAGACCATTTTAAATTTCACAGACTCATCTTGAGCAAGCTTAAAGGCAACAGTGGAAAAAGAAAACTCCCTCATGAGGAAGAAACCTTTAGCAGAACCAGGCTCAGGACAAGCGGCCATCTGCTTCGACCGGCTGGGTTTGAGAGGAACAGACACACAATGGCAGGTCAAGAATCACATTAAGATAGAAATAGTCTCAAATTAAAACTTTTCAATTTTAACACATTTTTTAAGGAAATTAGGTCAATTTGTCCTCTAGTAGTCTAAGCCTATGGCAGCATAACAAGCCAACCCTGACTATAGGATTTATCAAAAAGGAAAGTCTTAAGCCGAGCTTTAAAACCGGACAATGTGTCAGCCTCGTGGACAGAAACTGGAAGTTGGTTCCACAAGAGAGGAGCCTGATAACTGAAAGATCTTCCTCCCGTTCTGCTTTTGGAAACTCTAGGAACCGCAAGTAAGCCTGCAGTCTGAGAGCGAAGTTCTCTGTTAGTAAAATATGGGACAATAAGATCTTGAATATGAGAGGGAGCTAGGTTGTTGAGGGCTTTGTAGGTTAGAAGTAAGATTTTGAATTCTGTTCTGAATGTACGTATAAGAAAATATATATTTTTATTTGACTTCAGGACAAAAAAGGAGAACAAGACCAAAAAGAAAGATGAATTGTTCTTAAATTTGGTATCATGATCACTGAGTTGTTCAAGTAATAAATGTTTTAGTGAATTCTTGATAACCTACCATCAACAATGCACTTAAGAGTACAAGTAGTTCTGATTTCATTTTATAAGTAGTTTGATTTTATTTTAAATTGCGCTTTGAGTTCTTGGTTTTTGCTCATGTTCCAATATTATCGCCCACTTAGTATTGTTGTCATGTTCCTTACTGTAGTTGACTATACTTCCTGTTTTGTTTTGGTATCTCCTTGTTAAGTCTCTTTATTCTTGTTTGCTGGTTATCATTTACAATAGCAGCTGCTTTGGATTGGACCATTTAATTCTGCAGCATATATGCTCTGAGGTTTATACTTGAGTCCTTCTTTAACTGTTGAATGAGACAGGAGTAGTTTGGATCATTCAGAGAAGTTGCAGAACACAAAGTGTTAAGGAAACAGAGGCCAGAAGAATCCATCACCTCTCTGCTGCATCGCAGTGCTGCCATGATAACAGCAGCGGAAAAGAATGACTGAATGCAAACCTGTACCCATCTGAGCCTCTACATGAGCTGAAATCAGAGTAAATACACGATGTGGAAATATACCTAAAAATCAACATTGCTTGGTGCGACTTGGAGATTTATAACAATAAATCCTAAAAGAATGGTTACTGCAAATGTCACATGAATATAATTAACTTGACACGGTGTATTTATCTGAATTACTGGAGGTCAGAGGTCATTTTTGTTCAGAAATCAGATAATATGGAGGATAATAACAATTCATAGTCTCTGACTAACACAGTATTTCACTTTTCTTTTATGCTTACACTAGTTCATTCTACCATGTTATGGTTGTTCTTAATGTAACTACATTCTGTCAGAATGCATAGAGATGATTTTCACTGGAGAAATAAAACAAACAGCACAATTACTGTATTTATCAGCTTCAAAATAAAAGCTAAATGTTATGTACCCTCAAGTCGAGTAAGAGGAAGCTCAGATGAGACGAGGCCTTCTCTGTTAGTGCCCCTAAGTTATGGAACGCTCTATCCTTTGCACATTCGACAGGCCCCCTCACTGTCCATTTTTAAAACCTGTCTGAAAACTCATCTCCACTCACTGGCCTTCAACCCAACTGAGACTTGATTTTACTTCATTTTTATTGGTATTGATTTTATCTGTTTAACTCGTCGTTTTATTGTGTTTTAAACTGAGTTTTTAGTTCACTGTGTGCTTGGCTTTGTAGCTTTGTTTTTATGCTCTCTCTTCTTGTTTTTAACTGATGTTCAGCACTTTGTTTCAGCTGTGGCTGTGTTAAAGTGCTTTATAAATAAAGATGATGATGATGATGATGATGATGTGCGTTACTAAAACTGAAATAACCTGGACGTTATTACGTTACTAAAATATTTAGAGGAATGTTCTGGACTTTCTTTGAACATCAGTTTCTATATCTGTTTGTTAACAAGAACATTAGTACAGTAGCAGAGACTGACTGTAATCCTTAGGAACAACATTTTTCTCCTTGACGATCAGACGAAGATTATTCATAAAATAGTAATCACTTGTCAACTACTTTTAAAATGTAATTCTCAGAACATGATAGCAAGTTGTGCTGATTTTAAACATAAAATATGACAGCAGAAGACAAAAGAGCAAAAACCTACAAAGCAGAAATTAATTAATAGAAACAGACATTCACCTTGAAGGAATGGATATTGCTCACCACCTTTCATGCCAGCATTTTAGATTAAAAAGAGTTATCTTGAAAGATGATGGAGTTACGTATAAACATTTTGGTCAAACCTTAAAATTCCAGATTGGATGCAGTATTACAGGTTCTTGCACAGTCTGTTAAGATTTCAATAGTACCCACGAATACAGATTTATAGAAGGAGCGTAAAAAATTTTACTATAATGTTTTTTTTATATAAAAGTAACGTCTGATATGGCAGCACAAATTTAGATAAAACGCTCAAGGAGGAAGAGAGGAGAAAGCACAAGGAGTCACAACGAAAACCGGACCTGGTAAAAAGCCCAACAATGTCTGCCTGATGCAGTAAGGTGAGATGAGGGACTATAAGGACTGGGACTGCAGCTGTGACTAATGTACAGTGGCTGACAGATGCAAACACGCATCATACAACGTTTTTTTGATGAATTTGTATTTTTGTGTTTGCATTTGTTTTTGTGTTTGCATTTTTTTGTTTGCATTTGTTTGTTTTTTTGTGTGTGTTTGCATGTTTTTTGTGTTTGCTTTAGATTTTTTGTGTGTGTGCTTTTTTTAAGTTTGCATCAAACATGTGTTTGCTGCACGTTTGCACCCGTCGGCCACCGTACTAATGCAACAGGGAACAGGTGCAACTGGGCAGCGCAGGTAGACTAAGGGAGCAGAAGTAGAAGCAGAAATGGGTGATTATACACAGGAACACAGAGAGGGAAAGCAACAAGTTTAGGACTCAGTTAATTGAAATGCAGACATGAACAATTGGGTACCAATTCCAAAATGTCAGACCCTTATTGATTTAACCGACTGGTGAAAGAAGGAGGAAGCTCAGACTCAGGACTTCAAGTGGAAGCTGATTTAAAAAAAAAAAATGTTTACTTCCTAGATGTGCAGCATGCAGTTGTGTAAAAGTGATTTGAAGAAAAACATTGCAAAAAGAAAGGTAAACAAGTATGAATTAATTGAATCAAACTTGTATCAAAGTACTTTACATGGTCTTCACTATGCCCCATAGCATTCAAGCACTCTCCACCATTAAGTCCTAAACTCAATGTGACTATAAATAAAGGTTGAATGAATGAACAAACCAAACAAAATGAAATCAGGAAAACACTACAGAATGAACTATAAACGCATAAAATATAAATTTTGACAACTATCACACTACATTTTGCTCAATATCTGTAAAATTGACTAAAACATTTTGTTTGCTAAGGTCAGACACACACAATTATAATATCACACACATTTCCTGGCAACAGTTAATAAAAAAAAATGAATGGATGTCTAGTCCTGTAGTTCTGGAGATTTTAAGATGTATTGAATAGACTTTAAATACCTCTCTTAACAACAAAACTGCCACTGGGAACACAAAAACAACATAAAATCGACCAGTTCGTAAATGACAACAAACTCTGAAGACCTCAAAGGAAACAAACCTCAAACTTAGCAAACCAGCTATACAAACAGCCACTGTGCTAATATTTGACAAAAATATAATTCGATGATGTTGGGTCACACCAGCAAATATCAGCGCGTCCTTATCTAAACAGCCACAGGACATAAACCATTAATAATAAAAGAGCACAAGCTAAGCAAATTCAATTTGTTCAGTACAGTATTAACAGCTCATGGATTTGTTGTGTCAGTGTACACCAGCAGCCCTCGGAGACAACAACATCATGTTTGCTAGACCATCCTTATTAGCTTGTTTGCATTCGCAGTCTGTCCCAAGTGGCAGCTAACGCGAGGGATGCTGTCAGGCAGCCCAGCCTAATATACAGCCTCATCAGCAGATACACAGAACACAAGCAGTCAGGCAGTGCTGCTTGTCTGTTCCCTCACACAGTCTCACCATTTACACCTGGAATAGGACGTCATCACATATAACAACGATAATCTACTGCAGTTTCTGTCAAGCCTTGTAGATGGGAATGCAGAAAGTATATCAGAGGCACAAACTTTCTCTTTTAGCTGTAAGCAGATGTCCTGCTGGTGTTGGCGCTCTCGGTGGTGCTTCAGCTCCTCCTGGTGGGCATGCTCTGCCTCCTCCAGCATGACGAGGGCTCTGGCCAGCAGCTCTCCCTGGTCCCGGTGCCACCCTTGGGACACTGCCCTCATCTGTGCCTGGGTGAAGCGCAGCAAGTCCCACAAGCGTTCGTGCTCCCTCTGAAAGAGTAGATGGGGTAATATACAATGACAACTTTTACAAAGTTAGGATGTTTTGTAAAATGTAAATAACAACAGAATGCAATAAATGGCTAAACTCATAAACCTATAATTTATTCACAATAGAACATAAATAGTAAACGTATAAAACTGCACCATTAAAAAAAAAAAAAGGATCAGATGCAGTCCGCAGTTTAGACCGTTGGAGTCAGACTCCGCACCACATGTCCTCACAGACATCTACACCTCCAGATGCAGGAAGAGGGCCACCTGCATCATGAAGGACCCCACTCACCCAGCACACACACGTTTTGCACCGCTCCACTCGGGCAGAAGGTTGAGGAGCATTAAGTGTAGAACCACTAGACTGAGGAACAGCTTCTACACTGAAGTTGTTAGACACATGAATATCTAACCAGGATTATCACTGTGAAAAAAATACTGTAATGCCACTTGTTGATATGTGCTGCTGACTATCCATGCTGCTGATCTCATGCTGATGATTTATTTCATGCTGCTATGTTCATTCGTACTCATCTGCTCACACGGACTCATGTTTGTGCTGCTGTTGTTCGTCGTATTGTTTTGCACTATTAAGTGTTTAGTGTATTCTTAGTTTAGTGTATTTCTTAGTTCATATTTTATTACTGTTTTTATTTTACAATTTATACTTTTATTGGATGTAACTGGGACCCTGTGTACACAATTTAGTTACACCACAAGTACCACATGTGATGCGATTGACAATAAAGAACCTTGACGTTGACCTTCCCTGAAAATTATGTCTGTATGGAAGCAAATGTTATTCTAAGTCCGGTTTATTTTTCTACAACGATGGCGTCTTTCCAGACGTGTCAGCAACCCATGTCAGAGGCACTAATGTACCCCCATACCATCAGCAAGGCAGGCTTTTGAACTATGTGCTGTTAACAGGCTTGATGGTCCCTCTCCCCTTAAGTACAGAAGATGGGTGTTCATACTTTTGAAAAAATAATAATAATAATTAGTCAACCATTTCCCACTCTGTCTCAGTCTACTCTAAATGTATTTGGCATCGTTTCTGGGTGGCTTCTTCTTTGCATGATAGAGCCTTAACCTGTGGATGGCACAGTAAATGGTGCTTACGTAAACTTATTTTCAGAAGTGTTCCAGAGCTCATGCGGTTACGTCCACAACCAATCAGAGGTGTTGCTAATGCAGCGCCGCCTGAGGGCCAGAAGATCACAGGCATCCAGTATTGGCTTTCAGTCTTGTCCTTTGCACACCGAGATTTATTCGTATTCTTGAATTTTTTTTTATGACACTTGTGATCTGTTCCTGTCCCATGCTTGTCTTTGGTCACCAGAGGGCGCTGTACTTCCACACCTGCAGACAATGTGTCCTGATGAGAATATATAAGGCAGTTGATGACTCTCCTTTGACGCTGAAGCATTACCCTGCTTTATGGTTCATGCTCGTAGCCCTTTGTGAATCTCTAAGCCTTGTGATTATTTACCTTTCTTTTTTTTTTTTTACCTATTTACCTTATTTCCAGAGAACCTCCTGAGACCTACCTGAGTATTTGGATCTCCTAGTGAACTCCTGGAAATCTTACCTGTTTGCCCTTCAGCTGCTCACCTCGACCTCCAACCACACGCCCTCCTGAGCCCATTGGATCTTCTCATAATTTTACAGGATTTTGGAACCCTACATCTTACCAACCATCTACCAGTAAGGAACATGCACGTTCTGAGTAAAACCCCTTTGCTGAACTCTGGACCTGACCCATCTCCTTGCTCCCCAGGGTTCCTGTTTCATCCTGAATTATTACTCACTGTAAATAAAAGCACTGAACTGACACTACTGTGTCTGAGTTGTTCGTCACCAATCCTTTCGCTCAGGGTATTCCGTTCTTGTGACAATCTGTAGATGATGGAAAATGTCTTCCCAATTTTCCACTGAGGAATATTGTTCTCATTTTTTTCCACTTCCATTTGTCAAGTTTATCAGTATTCAGCATTAAATAGCAACATTTACCTTAAAGAAATAAAGACACAGATGAACTCATTCAAAACTGAATCCAGTGGCATCTCTATGCAACAAATTTATGGTGTGCTACAAAAATATTCCCGAACACTGCATTCTATACGGTCTACTCTATAGTAAAGGCAGCAGGACCATCGGGACACCTCTGTGCCAGAGTATAAAATGGCCTATCTCTCCTGGCTGTGAAATGTTCTGCAGGAAAACAGTTCCTTTCTGTGTGAGGGCTGCCCATGGCTATTCATCATTGTGTCAGCACTCTCAGAGGCTGCACCACTTGAGTGCCTCATTGGAACGGAGAGAATGATATTCATCTGTGGGCTAATAGCGGCTAACTGACAGTGTGAAGGCGTTAGACGGCTGATCAGTTTTATTGAAAATGAATGAGAAGACGGACTTGCCAAAGAAACAAGTGTCTGGATTAGTCAAGCAAATCCTGTTTATTAATGCACATCTTCAAAAATTTAAGAAGACCCGCCCTTTATCTCCTGCACTTTTTGTCCTTTCTTTCAACACCCTTGTCCAAACTCGTTTTAGCAGCGAGTTTGCATAAACACAGAGGGTGAGTGCTCACATGCTCGCATGTTTGCACACATTGTGCAATGTCTGTTTGTGTCCATGTACTTTGGCTATTACACTCGGAAAGTGAGTGGACACGTTGAGCAGCACTGAGTCTGCTCTGCACACTTCAAGTGCAATAACACTTAGCTCTGTGACAGGATACATTAGAACACTAAAGACTGAAAGAGGAAAAAGAAACCAGAAGTATAGACTAAAAAATAGTACGAAGCATGAATTATCCAGGACATTAAGGGAACAATACTGTGAAATAGTGCTTACTACTCTGACTTATGTGGTGATAGACAAAAAAGTGACCCATGCAGCAAAGGGGGTTCTTTAAACAGAGTGAGCTGAAGCCCCATCACCTGACTGTAAAGGAATGCATATTGTCTGCAATCGAGTTTTTAAACTCAGATCATCTTATGTTGTGAAATAAGTTATAGATTTGCATGTCTATTTCAATCAAGTCTTGAAAATAACAAAATGCACAATTTCATGCAGTATCTCAAATGATATTTAATGATTTGTTAGGTACATGTTATGAATAATGTTACTACCACATCAAATATTAGCTGAATATTTGTACAATTAACTGAATCAGAAGCAGCTTTATTGTCATTGCACAGAAGCACAACAAAATTAAATTTCAGACAGCCGTCCAAACAGAAAACAAACATGGGTAGATGGGGATGTCTGAGGCCGCAGCCTCGTGGGAAGCGCTGCCCTTTCGTTTAAATAAGGAAAAGAGGAAAACATGAGGAAATAGTAGGCTAAAAAAAAAAAATCATATCTCACACTGTGTCCTGTCAAGAACAGTGTGAGGTTGCAAAAAAAAGCAAACAACTCAGCACAAGAAAATAAGTATAGCTATTTTTATGCAGGCTAAGGTGAATTAGCTCTGGTGACCATCATGAATTGGGCTGACTCCAAACATCAATCATTTGTAGATGTTTGTCCAATATTACTTTGAGTGTTTCACTAAAATCCATTCAGTAGTTCATGAAATATTGTGCTAACAGACAAGCAGTGTTGATGCCAACAGTTACTGCTAAACAGTTCTTCTTTTACAGTGATGCTCAGCTCTACCACACCAAATTTTAGCTCAACATCAAACAAACAGGCAAAAACATTGTCCCTCCACGTTTGCCTTCAGCAGCCGGTGGGTTCAGCTCAGCAGAACAATGTCTTCACTCTGCTACAAGCAAAATTGAGAGTAATTTGTACTTTTCATCGCGACAACAAATTGTAGAGAAACGGCTGCTAGAAATAATTTTCTTTAAAATATCTTACATCTCAGTGCAGTCATATAAAAGAAAAAGAAAACCAGCAAGAAACGAAGCAGAACATTGTTGCTGATTAATCATCGAGACTCTTATTTTTGTGTTGCACAAAAAAGCCCACTTTGCCGTAGATGTTCTGTCTGACTGAAGGCAAGAAACAGTGATTCAGTCATTCCAGAGAATTTGTGCTTACTTAGAAATAATGACAGAGGACTAAAATGGCAAACAAAGCACTAAATTAAAAGCAAAGCTTGCAGATAAAGCACGGGCTTGATCAAAACAATGAGCAGCACTATGAGCATGTTTTGTGAACGACTCTCAGCTACAACCACGACACATGAGCAACATATTAATAAAAGTAACTGAATAAAGGCCATTTTTGTGTTTTCTAATAACTGATGGTGATGGCAATGTTGGATCTAGCTGGCTTTAAAAGTGAATCATTTGTAGTTGTATATCAAATAATTATGTCCTTGGAGTTTTATTAAAAGCTATCCATGAGAAATTTTGCTGACAAAGTTGACTCCAAACAGCTAAAATTGTCTTCAGATATTTTGTGCCATCTGTTAGTCCTTAGAAAATGTGACGGGAATTGGTGTCAGCTTGGACAACACCAAAGTTTTGGTCAGTTTCAGTTAAATTGACTGGATTACTGTACAGTACAGCCATATTTCTTTCCTTTTTTAAATTCAATTTTACTTTTCACTGCAGCTTATTTACATAATATCGATTCGCAACAAAATTCATCTCAGGGCAATATACATTTTTTAAAATGTATTTACATTATACAAGATGTCATTTAGTAAAAGTTATCTAGTCAAGCCTAACGATTGTATTGACTTTTTACTTTGTCACGTTCTCCCATCCTGGGCAGCACTTTGGTGACTGTGGAAAGGAAAAACTTATTTTTAACATAAATAAACCTCCAGCAGACCCAGGCTCAGGATGGGCAGCCATCTGCCTTGACTGATGGGTGTTTGAGGAAAGGGGCAACACAGATTGACACATTTAATGATAGAAAAAAATGACAAATGTGGTCCTCCAGCAGTTTAAGCCTATAGCAGCACAACTAAGGGATAGCTCAGGAAATCCAAGCCAACACTAACTATAGGATTTATCAAAAAGGAAAGACTTGAGCCTAATCTTAAAACTGTACAATGTGTCAGCCTCATGGACAGAAACTGGAAGTTGGTTCCACAAAAGAGGAGCCTGATAACTCTAGGAACCACAAGTAAACCTTCAGTCTGAAAGCAAACAGATCTGTTAGGAAAGTAAGGAACAATAAGATTTGTAATATAAGATGGATCTAGGTTGTTGAGAGCTTTGCATATTAGAAGTAGGATTTTAAGTTATATTCTGAATTTGACAGGAAGCCAAAGAGGAGAAGCTAAAACTGGAGAAATATGATCTCCTTCTAACTCCCAGAACTCTGGCAGCAGCATTTTGGATCAACCAGCCAGATGATAAAGAATTATAATCCAGCCTAGAAGTGACACATGCATAGATGGGTTTTTCGGCATCATTTTGGAACAAGATGTTTTTAGATTTAGTGATATTATACAGGGGAAGAAAGTTCATAGTAATGTTTTTTAATGTGGCCAGTGGTTTACGAGATTTTTTGCGTACTCTCACAATCATGGACAAATCCATAAAAAAATTTAAAAAAGAAAACTATAATTCAAGTGATAAAAGAAAAACATTTACATAAGTCACGCTTGTGCCATTGATTTTTACTTTGTCCCCAATGGATCCAAACATTCAGAGGCACTAAGCTGAGTTTAACTAATCATGTCAAAACATCAAAGCTCATGCTCAATAATCCAGAAAATCCACCAAAGCTCAGTCAGGTCATTTGGATGGTTTCTTTTTTTTTTAATTTTGTTGAGACGTTTCGTCCTTCATCACATTTCATCCTTCAATTACACCAAATAATTAAGCAATCTAATGCAATAACTGGCTCACCTCAGTGCCCCATCTGACATGTACAGCCGCTCAGTGGCCAAGAGGACTCCTCACATCCACGACACAACTGCTTCCACATGCTTCCATCAAACAGGCGTTACCAAGTCCCGCTGGCCAGGAAGAATATTTACAAGAAATCATCTGCACTATTGTCCTTAAACAAAGTTAAATAGACATATCTTAATGGTGTTAACGAATGGAGATGAAGTGTTTTTTTTATGCTCTATTGTTGGTTCTTGTGTGTGTTTGATGAATAGAGCGTGTCAAAGGAGAATTTCTGCCACAATTGTGGTAGACAATAAAGTTTTATCTTATCTAATCCAAAGGACTTCATCAATCTGAGGAGCCGCACGCAAAAAAACTCAGTCCCACAAGCAGCACACACAAATGTGCTAGACTAGTCAAACTTTTTCAATTGATGTAAACATTAAAGAATGTCAGAAAATAGCATTTTTAAAAAAAAATCTGAATATTAATAGCATCTCAGCATTTATGCACTTCATCCGTAGGATTTCAGAAAATCAGCCTATAGCTCCAGCTGATTATCCAGTTAAATGATGACTAACAGCTGGTTTAGGTGGAGACACAACCCCACCTGCTCTGAGAAAGTGCAGAAAAAGACACGTCTCCTCCCTGCAACACCCCTGAGGCTGAACGATCACAGCTCTAAATGCAGCACCCAGCTGGAACTGATATGACGACAGGTCTCTCTGGGTGCCGGAGAGGAAGGAGGGAAGGAAGAAAGAGTGGGGGCACCGGGTTGGTTTCTGGCGGTTGTCATGGTGATGCTAGGTGGCAGTGTGTGACATGACGCATCCTGCAGCGTGCTGAGCAGATCATTGTCCAGGCTTATCTGTGCACTCGGTTCAGGGCTACATTGATCAGGGAGCCGGGAACTCAGACCTGCGTCTGACAGGAGTGACGGGTGGGGGCACAGTAAAAAATAAGGCAGGCATGTGTGCATGTTCAACGTGCACAACAAACATGGAAAGGTCAAACTGGCAATAGATAAGATTTACAAAAACAGAATATTATTTTGATATCGTTTGCTTTGAAAAATGTTTTATAAACTCCAGTTTAATTTTTATTTTTGAAAACTAAATTACGTCAGGACCCTACAATCGAAGAATGCTCTCAACAAATCTTTGCTAAGTAAATGAGGTCCTGTCATGATTAATTTAAATGTATTATTTGTCTAATTTCTTAGTAAATCTATTAATCGAGAAGTTTGTTAAATTTATAAAATAAGGACAAATAACTTACAAAGCCCATAAATACAGACTTTATTATAATAGTTACAAGTTTCTAAAGCTCAAAAGTCTAACTGTTAATTTGTAAAACGTACTAATTAAAAAACTTTGTTTTAATTTAAACCTTTTCAGTCAAACAACTTCTTAATTAACAACTTTCTTCAAGTCTAATAACAATAAGTCAAGTCAGGTAAGTCCATAAAAATAAAAATAAAAACATTAAGGGTTGACCAAAATGCTGTTTACGTAAAAGAACAAGTATAAATTATTTTGTGTGCACTGATTTGTTGAAACATATAGACAATGTTTCAGCTATAGCTCTGCATGTGTGCATGAATGTGTGTGCACTGTATTATGTCACTTGTATTTGATAAATTAAGTTGTTACATTTTAATTTTAAAAATGCATTGGGCACATTGTAAAAGTATCTTATTATTTTTATATTTAGTGAAATTACTAACCAGCTCTTGTCTCGTCCTCTCGGGGAACTGTCTCCGCAGCATGTCCGTGCAGAGTGCTCTGTGGTTGGGTGTGTCAGGAGTGTACATGGACACTGTGAACTGGAAAAGTTCATGGTCTTCTGGACACCAGCCACAAAACCTTACAGAAATTCAACACAGAAATATGTAATAAGAAAGAAAAATGTCATGCAATTGTAAATAAATTACTAAGCAAATGGTCCTAAAAATGCTGCCTCATGGAAAATGATATAAAGTAATTTTACATAATCAGCCTCCTGGCGAGAAATCCCCATCTCAATCAACAGTTTGTTTAGAAGTGAGCTAACTGTGGCAATTTGCTTCACTTTGTTCTGTCTAGTCAAACCAGAATTCTGCTTTAGATGTAATGTTTTATCGTATTAATCAACAAAAAAAATTCAGATTTAATGTATAAGCACTTAAAACTTTAACTTCAGCATTCAAGTTTACCTGTCAATTTTCTGAAGTTGCTCCTGCAGAGCCTGCAGTCTGTTCTGGTACCTCTCTGAGAGGGACTGGAAGGCCTGGACCAGAGAGTCCTTCAGCTTTGGGTAGGGGCAGTCCGCCTCTAAAACCTCTTTGGGAATGCTTTCTGGGTTCACTGCAGCACTAACGAGATATTTCTAAAAAGCACAACAAAAGCTTTCTTGAGACATTCTGTACAACTGCATATCTTAGACATGTTTATTTCTATGGTAAAGTTTGGATATTTTAATAAATTGTGTATTTTGTTTTCTGAAGAGAAAAGAAATAAAACAAACTGAACCAAGAATCAAACATGATTCAGTCAAATTAAATGGATTTGGCCACAATAATTAAAGGTTTGCTTGAAGAAAAAGGCATAGTTATAGAACAATGACCATCTCCTGCCTTTTGATATAAATACTCGGAGACTATACTTTTTTTTTTTTAAATCCAGCCTGGAAACTCACTTATTTAATTTGGCTTCTTTATTTGTTTTTATTTGTGTTTAGCCTATTGCATTGTATTTGTTGGGTTTATGTGTGATTTTTATGTTACTTTACTGCTTGTGAAGCAATTTGGTCCATATTGTTGTTTTTAAATGTATTAAATGAATAAAATCAACATTGGCATCTTTCTAACTTTTAGAACTGCCAATGGAAAGTCTCCTCTAAAAAGATCCTGCACAGAATAAAAAAGACAAGACAGCACAATAATATTAGTTTGTATATAAATGTAATTCAGTCTTTAATAAAGGTGAAGTTGAAAATTGTCTGGCTTCAACCACAGCATGATAATATCAAATATATCTCAAGCTATACATTTTTTTGTTTATTCATTTTGATTCAGTAAAATGAATAAGTAAAACAATGATCAAAGACTGATGGCACTATTGAGTTATAGGAATAATATACCAGAGTTTTAGAAAAAGATCACCTGAACGTGAGAAGAGATGAAGTTATAGCTGATTAGGATAAACTTTGGTCATTTTTGTGTTTGCTAAGGCCATTTAGTTGCTGTGGCCATCATGAATTAGGTTAAATCAGATGTAGATGTACATCCAAGGAATACTTTCTGAGTCTTCAGCTAAAATCTGTGAAGTGGTCCATGAGAGATTTCATATATGCAAACAAACACACAGAAATGGACAAAAACAAGACCAAACCTTTACATTCAATAATTTGTCCAATAAAACAGTTATGTGCATTGGTAGCACTCGGAATTGAATACTTCTCAAGCTCAAAAACAGTATCTTAACTCAGTATGAAAGTGGTAAGAATTTAATAGCTATGTAGAACAGATGGTGACAAACGTACCTCCAAACCCATGTCCAAGATCTCGTTCTCCACAAACAAACACTCTGCATGAAGCTTTGCAAGTGTGTCATCTTGCTGATCTTTCACAGAGTTTATCTGGTAATTCAAGGATAAAAATACAAATTGCAGTAACTTGGAAAAATATAACATTAAATGGATGCATCAATCAGAGACAAATAAAAGTCAAAGCAACAACAGCACGATCGAGGAAAAGAAGATATTTCATGTGAAATCATTTTATTATAAAACTGCTGATGCATAAAATCAGACTGTAAATTATATTTATTGAGCATATTGTTTATGAGCAACAGAAACACCAGAGGAACTATCTGACAACAGGTAATCAGACACATGGAAGAAATTTCATCTACTGGGCGGTATCATTGAACAGGTTACCCATAAGCAGCAATGAGACTGCAACAAGGCAGAATGAATATATGAGCTAATGTGAGGTTTAATGTGAAGTGACTTTGACTATTATATTTAACAACATGAAGTAAACTTACTAGATGCATTGATTGCCTTTTGTAAAGCATCACTCATTTCCATGACATCTTAGCTTTAAAAAATTTTGGCTTTCATTTGAAATACCCAGTTATGGCAACATAATTACAAAGTAATTTCTTCTTCTGAAGGAAGAAAATAGAAGAAAGAAGAAAGGATGTGAAAAAATACTAATAAGCCGAGTCGTGGTGGCTGTGTTAGTGTGTGAGAGGTCAATACAAGCTAACGAGAGAAGAGGAAGGTATGTGAAAGAAACAAGCAGCGAGCTACACAAAGCTGACAAAGTGTCGGGCAGATGGTTAAGACTCGTTATGGTCTGTCTTTAAAGACTTTGGCTAACTCCTTAATCCCACCATTCAACTCTAGAGCCTGCAAAAAGCTTCTGAGAGTTAAAAGAAACCAAATGACATTGAGCAAGAATTTAATTAATGTTTTAATACTTTTTTTTTCATTAAACTTTGTTGTATTGTTGTGCAAGAGTTGGCTATTTTACACCAGCAGACTCTTCATATAAGACTCACGCTTGAAGGATTTCTATGACTGGATTAAAGCGCAGCCAACCAGTCAGCTGAAATCAGGAAGTTGTAAATTACAGTTTTTCCTGACAAATATACAGTAAATTGATGGCTGCTTCAATAGCCTCATACCGGGTCAGCTGCATTCTGGTCCAACGCAAAAAGTCTGAGCGATGGCGAGGTCAAGAAAGAAGCATTAGTTGAGGCTGCAAATGCAGTTTTCCGTGATTTCAAAAATAAAAGAGTTCGTGGCAGGCTACAGTTTCTCACAAGTCGACCGCAATGCATGGACCTGCAAAACTTTCCACACATGCAGGCAGAATTACAACGTCAAGGGCAAGATGTCACACAGCTCAACATTGCACTGTATGACGAGCAGGTTCAGAGCATCTTGTCAGAACTTGAGAGATGATTTATTGGCTTTGCACCCATAGATCCTGTTGTCAGCTACATGTATTATCCTTTTGGAAATATTGATGTGGATGACATTGTGTCCAGATTAGTGTGCTGAAACTCTGGTGCTGAAAAATATATTTTGACACTACAAAATAGCATTGGGATCAAATCCAGAGCAACACCTGGCATGGATAGAGAGTTCTGGAGTCTGCTGTTGGAATAAAAGTATCCTTACATCAGAAAATGTGCTTTGAACTTGACAGTACATTTGGATCAACCTACTTGTCTGGACTTATCTGCTTTCTCTCACATGAAAATCATCAAGCCCAAGAACAGATCCACAGTGACCATCTGGTGACCTGCCTATGTCTTGCAACCACCTCATACTGCCCTGGCTTCCTCCTTCCAGTGTCAGAAGGCCCACTGAGGTAGACACATACATTTATTTTCATGTTATAGCTTGCATAATATGTTGTCTCTTCTAGGCCTGTCAAAATTGGGTCTGTTGTTTTTAATTATCTATCAGGCCAGACTGTTTAAAACTCTGACTGGCAACTTTGTGTGTGTTATGACAGGGCAAGTAGGTTTCTGCAAGCTGCCAAATTCAAAAGTAGATCTTGGTTCAAAAACGTTTGGACACCCCTGCATTAGAACAACAGCCACAGCAGCCATTGGAGTTCTACTGGACCTGACTCCACTGAATTTGTATATCTAGGGGGAGGCCTCATCCAGTGCACTGAGGTTATTCCAGTCTGGTAGGTGGAGAACAGGGCTTAATTTGTAAACTGATCAATGCCGGAACACAAATAGGGGGCGGGCCAGCCGGTGGGGTGGGTGGGTGCTGGTGTCCTCCCCCAGAAAATTTTAAATAACGTAGATGGGATTTCCTGCATGTCGGTATATTTTAATGGGTTGTTAAACATCTATGTTTACTTACATTTGTAAAGACTCTGCTTATGCTTTCATTCAACCTTTATTTATACAGGTTAGTCTCATTGAATCATGAGGGACTGTCAAGCATCTGTCAAGCATTCCCCAAACCCCTATTTGACAGAACCATCAAGTAAGTCTTGGTACTTGGTAAAAAAAAACTGAAAGTTAAACTGGGTTTCTTTTTCAGAAACAGATCCTGTCTAACTCTGAATGCTAGGAAACGTCTTGTATCTGTGACTTTCCTTCCCTCTATTGATTATGGTGACATTATTTACATGAATGCTCCTACAAGAACCCTGCAGATGTTGGATGCTGTCTATCATGGTGCACTAAGATTCATAACTGGCTGTGATTATTGTACCCACCACTGCACCCTGTATTCACTGGTTAACTGGACATCATTAACTTCACACAGACTCTCCCACTGGTACATTTTCATCTTTAAATCACTTCTTGGTCTGCTGCCTTCATACATCTCCTCCTTCATGTCTCTGCGTGAGTGCAGCTACAGCGTGCGCCCTCAGGACATTATTACCTGCAGTGTTCCCTCAGTGCGAACTGAACTAGGCAAAAGGGCCTTCTCCTACTCTGCTCCTGTTTCTTGGAATATCTTACAAAAAGATCTGAAGGTCTCGACCTTGACCTCTCTAAGTGGCTTTAAGAATCTGTTGGACTCCTGGCAAGGACCAATACAGACATGTTCCTGTTTTTAGTTTTCTACATTCGCCTTAGAATCTAGTTGTTTTTTGTTACTTTTCTTTTCTTTTTTACTTTTCTTTTTTTTTAGCCATCCTATTTGTTAAAAAAAAAATAAAAATTGTATGACTTTTTATAACTGTTTATTGTTGTCGCTGTTGTCCATTGTTGTCATCATTCTTTGTTGAAATCATGTCTCTCTTGTAAATGAGTCCTCCAGGCTCAATGGGATTTACCTGTCTAAATAAAGGTTGAATGAAAAAAGTCAGGTTCGGACCCGAGGGACGAGCAGGGACAGTGTCCAATACTGTTCCGCTCATTGTTGTCCAACTCCACATGTGAACCTCCAGGTGCCTGCCTGCAGATGTCTGTGGGCTCCTGCCTGCATACGACTGACTGCCTGGTTAGCTCAGCACTCACCCCCACCACTCTTTTAGGGGTGGATTTTTTTTTTTTTAATGTAGATGCAGAACTGCTATTTGAAGAGGCAGATTATATGCTGTTGTGTTTAAAATGAGTGTTTACGTAATTATTTTCAGTTTACATATCCAATATAAGTTTATTATTTTCAAGGCAGTCATATTTGTTCATAACTTTATTATTAGTAAGCCTGAGGGTTACCGGATCCAATCAAACAGTTACTGGACAGCACCCTATCAATATAAGAGTTCCTGGATCCTGTTCCAGCAGGATCCAGCTCAAATTAAGCACTGGTGGAGAAGCCTATCTGACTTGCAGCATACTCAAAGCTGAGACTGGGCAGTTGCTGCTATTCCAGTAATGGCAGGACCCGGAGACATTATGGTAAAAAAAAAACAACTTTGAGCCAATGTTAATTAACAACTTAACTTTGTTGGATTTTTTTTACCTGGATTATTGGGCATGAACTTTGATGTTTTGAACCACTTTGGCCATGGCTGCCTCAAATGAGTTGGCGGGGGAGAGGGCGGACTCCAGAAACCATCTTAGCACCATCAAAATGGTTGATCCACTATGTGAGTGTGCTGCTTATAAAACTGAGTTTGTTGTGGCTCCTCGGACCGATGAAGTTTTTTGGATCAAAGAAGAAACGTTTTGACAAAAAAAAACCCATCCAGAGGACCTGACTTAACTTTGTTGGATTTTATTATCTGGATTATTGAGCATGAACTTTGAAACTTTGAGCTAAGTTTTCAGACAGAGATTGAAGACAGATCTGCCTTGAGCAACTTCTCTATGGTAGGCCTGTCTCCCAATCGATTCTACTGTTTTACAGATGGATTTCTTCTGAAGGGGTCAGTAGGTGCAGGGGTGCTGATCTTGCACAACTACAGTGAGAGAAAGTACAGTTACCTGCTGAATAGTTTTGCAACTGTATCTCAAGCCGAGATATATGCAATTTGCCAGTGTATGGCATTTCTCAAAGACCTTCAGTGTACAGAGAGGGAAGTTTACATACTAACAGATAGCCAATCTGCTATTAGAGCTCTCCATGGGACACACTTTGTATCATTACTGGTTTGGGAGTGTGCCAAAGTAGTCAATCAGCAGTGTTACTGTTATATGGGTACTGGGATATACTGGTATTAATGGTAATGAAAGCGCTGACTACCTTGCGAAAGCTGGCAGTCAGGCCCACGTCAAAGGATCAGAGCCTGTTTTAGGTATTTCAACAACAGGCTGCAGAACTGCTCTACACACTCAATCTGTTGGAGGGAGTTGGCAGATTATAGACAGGCACAAGAACTGATTAATGGCACAAATCCAAGGTTTGGGAACACTCTTATTGGCAAGGAAAACTTTAAGTACACTTTTTGAAGTTCTAACTGGGCACAACCTACTCAACCACCACAAAATAGTGATGGGACTCCATGACAAGGGTCTGTGTGATGTTTGTGGCATTGAATTAGAGACCTCTTTACACTATTTAGGCTATCGCCTGGCTCTGAGCTGTTCATCAGAAAGAATTCTTGGGGAACCCTTCATGGATCACGAGAAGCTCAGATTACTGAGTATTTCAGACCTTGTGTCCTTCCTCCGAGAGACACGAGGTTTGGTGTTTTTTGGAGAGAGCAATGGGCACACCTAGAAGGCTCATATGGGTTTTTCATCAATCCCCACTTACTGCACTAATAACAATACCTGTTGTGATACTTGTTCTCTGTCTGATGAAAGTTCCTTGAGTTGTACGTTGTTCATTCTGAAGCGCAGATCATCTTTGAGTTGATAAACTGGCTCAACAGTGGCGTTCATGAATGCATCTTGTTCCATCTTCAGAGATAGCTCTAAATGGCAAAATTAAACACAGATGTGCACACACCAGCACATTAGTATACTAAATGTAAACAGCAGAGTCTAGAAGCGAAACATTTAACACTTTTAGTAGTTTACCGTATTCTTGAAGTGAGAAGACCGGAGTGTCTGTTATACTGATAGGTCTGATGTGATTTATAAAGTGGTGGATTTCATCCTCAGCTTGCTCTCTGTACCATGAGAGAAAAGCAGATTATAGTAACATGGCACTGTAGCAATACAGTTCATATAGTAATGAAGGGGGTGAGGCAATTGGGTATATAAATTTAAAAATTGAGTCCCTTAACTCAGATGCTGTTTGTGTCTAACACGCCAACCCCACCCAATTCCCAAATGTCAGCTTATTTTAGGATAAGATAATATTTAACTAAACACTGAACTAAAACCAACTCTAAAACATTGTATAAGTTGGTAAATTCTTAAAGTATATGAAAATTTAATGCTGATGTTTTATTTACCAATCTAAATCTGCATACAGCTAGAAAAAAAGTTAAACTGATATGATATTTAAAAGACCCATCATTTTCAAAAAATTTTTTTTGAAAGGATGCATATCACACGCTGCCTTGCATGTCCGACTGTTAGACCAAGATCATCTTATGTTGAGAAATGATGGAATGGCCAAACCTTGAAAATAATTATACACAGTCCTTTGCTATATTGCAAGTTGTCAGTGTGTTTTGTAAATGACTGTTACTACCACATCAAATTTTAGCTCAATATCTATAAAAGTGACTGAATTATAGAAATGTTTCTGTTGGCAAATGATTAACTGTGGCATCTGTCTTGAATTGGATCGACTCCTAAAGTTATTCAGTTTTAGATGTTCCTCCAATGACTTCTTTCTGCAAGTTAGAAAAACTTCCAGTGGTTCTCAAGATATTTTACTAACATTAAAGACAAATGAACATGCACGCACAGACTTGGTGGCGGGAAATAAAAAACAAAAGTATTTGAGTCGAAATTAAAAGGGCCTGTGTTGGAAGCTTCCCATAATTATGGACTTTTTTAAAAACCTGGCTGAAAGGTTGTCAAGCTTGTGAAAATAAAAGTAGCAGCAGTAACCATGGGGACATGCGCTCCAGTTTCCCTTTGTGACAATGTGGCGTTTGAATCCCAAGGTATTCTAACTAGAAGTATGTGCGGACAGATGCAAGCAGTGGCACATCTTCATGACTTGGCTCATTACTGAGGCCCATGGTTGTGTACATCATTAACCTTGCGTGGCTCAGACATAGTCATTATACAGCCAAACAAGCTGCACCCCAGAGCCAGCATTGCCCTTCTCACTTCACAAGGCATGACGGTACTGGGCCCCAGTCCCACACTTCTGCCTCAAAACACAGAGGGACAGACTCTTAAATCCTCACACAAGGATTACCATCCCCTTCTCTCAAGCTTAAATTCACAATCACATCCATCAGAAAATCAGCTTCCCTTACCTTTTTCTCTCCTAATACATTTTCTTCTTTTACACCCTTTTAAAGCTCTTTTTTTCCTCTAAAGATTTCTGTCTGGGTGCAATAAAGGTTTAAGTGGAATGGTTGCTTTGTGTATAAGCTGATTTAGAAAACTGCAGCAGATAATGGCAGGCAGTAATAGAGGGCTCTTACTCAGCCTTTTGCAGCCTGGGGTGTTCTCTGCTCCACACCTGTCTGTGTTGCCGTAATAAGGAGCTCTCCTTGGTTGCCTTGGCTGCACAGCAAGTCTTCTGAACCTATAAAACAAGGTTTAATTCTTTGAAAGAAAAAACTGTTTTCCTGCACCAAAAAGTAAGGTCAGAATAAGGTCTGCTTGATTCCATTTGGACAAGATTTTATCTGTGGTGCTTTAATACAACAGTTTTCTAAGCACTTTGTGATTAAAAAAACCCCATAACTGATCAGAAACACAAAACAAGTGGCTTTTTTATGCATAAAACATGTTTTTTTTTCCACGTCTGTGCTCATGGACAAAATTTTCCAGTGACATTTGCTGTAGTTTTGAATAGCATAACAGTGTTTTGTGAGAGTTTAATAAACTGAGTCAATTCAAGTGAAACAGCCAAATAAACAATGGGAAATTAAAATTATCAAGCAGACACATGCATGAGACACAGGGCATGCTACTAAGAGATTAAGAGGGAGGTAATGGTCCTAATCTAGTTTCATTTGTTTTGAGTTTCCATCGTGCAGCTCCTTCAGAGCGCTCACAGTGCAGCCATTCATTGACTTAGATCAGTGTTTTTATGCGCAGGCCAGTGATTCAGGTAATTGTACAAAACAACAATCACATACAAGAACATTTACATATGTACAGTATAATTTGTTTAAAACATTTAATCCTTGGATGGGCTCATGTAGGAAAAAATATTAACACCACATTTATTTTTGTACATGTTCTTTATTATGTTATTTTTGTTATTTATTCATTTATTTTTTGGTGCTATCAGTATTAAAGCTATAGTATCACTGTTATGTACTTGCGACCTGTCCAGGGTGTGCCCCGCCTCTTGCACAGTGATGGTTGGATATGAGCACCAGTGATCCCCGTGACCAAAAAAGGAAAAATCAAGTAAAGATACTGGATGGATGGTGCTATCAGTAAACACAATTTTTATTGATAAAGCCTAAAAATCCTTCTATTTTTGTTTTTGGTTTGAATCTTTCATAACTGTACAGTAACATTACTACTCTCAAGTGTTCCTTAGGGAAAAAATGACCATAGGGAAATCCCTTTATAAATGCACTTTCTGATCCCATAATCATTAAATCATAAAATAATACATTATTTTCAGTAATGATTTTTTAATATATTTTACCTCCATCTCTATTATTTTGGTTTAATAGAAGTTCATTCAGTGATGCTTTGCTTTTTACATTTGAGAGTCTGTGTAAAAAATTACCAGGATGGGCTGCAACTTACCCCAAAAGGGGTACCCTACGTATTTCCCGGCTGGACGTTGCAGTCAAGTTCTGTCTCTCATCTCGTCCGACAAAATAATTTTTGTTTGGACGTAAATAGCAAAAAACAAACTTGCATGTTGCACAAGTGAACGTTTATTAAAAAAAAGAAGTTCCACATGCATGCAAGTTGAAAACTTGGACATTCCATGGTTCAGAACAGCTGACTCCTAACTGCGTTACTGAAATCATGACATCAATAGCAAATTTGCAGGTTTGCAGATGATACAGCAGTGGTTGGATGCATCACAAATAATGATGAGTCCAGCTGCAGGCAGGAGGTGGAACACCTGGAGAGCTGGTGCAGGAAGAACAACCTTCACATCAATGTGAAGAAGACAAAGGAGATGACTGAAGATTTCAAAAAGAGTAAACACAATTAACCACCCTCCTACCCCCTCGAACATAGGAGAAACTGTGGTGGACGTAGTCTCTAGTTACAAGTACTTGGGTGTGCACCTGAATGACAACCTCAGCTGGAGCAACAACACTACCAGCTGATCAAGAAAGCTCATCAGAGACTCTACTTCCTCATGCAGCTGAGGTGAGATGGACTGGGAAGCTCAGTCCTCACCTCCTTCTACAGGTGTGCAGTGGAGAGCATCCTGTGCTCCAGCAGCAACGTGTGGCAGAAAGAAAAGCGCTGCAGAGAGTGGTGAAGGCTGCACAGAAGTCTGTTGGAATCAGCCTCCCCACCATCACAGACATCTACACCTCCAGATGCAGGAAGAGGACCACCTGCATCATGAAGGACCCCACTCACCCAGCACACACACTTCTTGCCCCGTTCCCCTCAGGCAGGAGGTTGTGGAGCATTAAGTGTAGAACCACTAGACTGAGGAATAGCTTCTACCCTGAAGCTGTAAGACTAATAAATCTCTAACCAGAAAAATCACTGTGATGCCACTTTATTTGGTGACACTTTATGCCACTTTAGCTGGGCTTGCAAATTATCAATGCTGCTGATTTCTTACCCATAAGCTGCTATATTCATACCTATCTCTTCACAACAGACTCGTGTTTGGGCTGTAGTTTAATACACCATATTATTTTATAGTATTATTGTTTACTGTATACCTTAGATCTTTGTATAGTGTTTCTATTTATACTTTATATTTTTGCTATGGGTGTAACTGGGACCCTGATGATTTTGTTCTACCTCATGTACCACATGTGATGAAAATGACAATAAACATTAACTTGATATAAATGTGCATGTGACAGGAGAAGGGTGGTGTTTTGAGAAAATAAAATGTATATGTTTTGTGCCTAAAACATTGTAATGGTGTCCATATAAATTTAGAGAGCTGCATTGGACACTTATTTAAAAAATGTCATGGATTTTGTCACTTCCTTTGTTTAGCAGGAAAAAAAAACCTACACTTTGAGTAAAACATCCATTAATATACAATATTCTCACTGTATCCTATTTAATAACAGTTGCTGTGTTTTTCAGCTTCTATTAACTAAAAGAATAATTGTAAAAAAAATTCAGCTTATTTGAATAAAACCGGTGGCACATAACATCACTCATCATCACTCACAAATAGAAGACTAAGTGCAGAGGGTAAACTGCACATGTGAATGATGATGTGACATGAGCAGTTAAATGTCAGGCACTTTTGCAATTTATTGAACTACATGTGGATATGCTGTTCTCAGTGTGTAGCATATTTATGAAAAAGGAGCTACGGTTCTCTTTACAGAAGTTGTACTTTGCTGTAGTGTAATTTAAATGATTGGTATGTAAAAAAGTATCCAACATTACAAATCCTTAATAAAACACAGTTATTTCCTCCTCTCCTCTTTAACCATCTTCAAAAATAAATAAATGAATGACTAAAAATAACCTCTGAGACTGACTGAATGACTCGGTTTTTTTTAACAGTATATACATTTTAAAAAAAATCCCTGCTTGGTGCATAATTTGGCACATCTAAAATAAAAAATATATATATAAACATCAAGTGCTGCCGCCATATTTTGAATCAATCAGTTTATTAATCTGAGCAGACAGCCTTTCAGAAGAGGGACCTTGAAGAGACAGGAGATAAAACAAAGAGACAACTCCACAAGTACAGTACAACAGTACAGCAACATATAGAACGTCTGATTTTGTGTTTCTAAGTTAAAATAAAGCTAATTCAAAGCATTGTATGATCAAAACACTACTTTACTTTCTTTGAAAGACTGAATACTAAATGTTATCAATATCAAAATGATTAAGCAAAACTTCTATTCTTTTGATTCAGGCTTATTTAGGTCTGTAATCAGACCTCTTTGAAAATAATTTGAGCAAAAAATAAAAACAAATAAAAAGCTGAAAATATGTAATAAAATAAGGCGTTTCTGCAAACTATTTAGTTAGCCAAAACGAAGTCAGCTCTGCTGGCCCTGCCTGTTAATGCTTTAAATTAGAACCAGTCCTAATTCTGTCAATCAGCCTCTCCAGCGGACACACACTGCGTTCAGGGCAGACAACATGGCTCAATTTCTTACAAATATGAAGCCCTATCACAGTGGGTTAAATTCGGCTGGGTCATTATTATCATAACTTTCTATGATGTGAAGTATTTGAAATATGTTTATTCCTTGTTGGCTTTTACTTTGTTTTTGTAAAAATGTAATTGTAAATATCATAATTACTTTTTCACGTTTTGGTACTTTATTTTGTACCCTTGTGCTTTAGTAATTTCTTATTTGTTTGTTCTTTGTTTTTAGCGAGTCAAATCAGTTCTTCTCATCCTGAGCATTTCATTGTACTGTTAACCTTGTGTTAACCTTGCATATGACAAATAAACATACTTGTAATTTGAACTTGAACTTTGAACCACATTTGTGAAAAACTGTATGTACATTTCTTTTCAACTTTTCCTTACAAAAATAGAAAGAAAAAAAACCTTTAGAATCACTAATTGTTAGCTCTCCCACTTTGATTTAGTTGTTTTTCTAAAAATGTTCAGATTAAAGCAAGAATGTTACAATGGCCAGTAAATGTTTGCTCTTTAACTCTTTAATGTCACAATAAAGTCATAAAGTTTTCACACAGAAAGACACATATACCGCAATTTCTGGTCTATAGAGCACACCTGACTATAAGCAGCGCACATTAAATTTAAAATAAAATGCAATTTTGTACATAAATAAGTAGCGTTAACGTACAACCTACTGAATGAACACAACAACTACCAGTAATCAATGGAGAGAACAGTGCTGACAAAGCTACCGCTAAATGTGTTTGGTGGCAGGAAGCTTGTTAGTCCAATAGGAAAAAAATTGCTGTAAATTTTATATATAAAAAACAAAAACATAAATTAGTCACAGCATTGTATATATGGGGTGCCGTTTGTAAAGTTGCACAGTCAAAAATTAACATCAATATTTTGGTTTATTTAGCTTTTAATAAGAAAAAAATAAGTTGTTTTTTTGTCTTCAAAGTCATATTTTCTCCATGTTATTCATACATTCATAAATGTCATAGTTCCCAACTAAATATTTAATTTACAAGATAAATATTTAGTTTACAAACAAAATACTTAACTTGCAAGTTAAATATTTAGTTAGTAAAGTAATATATTTTGGTACAAATTAAATATTTAATTTACACCTAAATATTTAGTTTACTAACTAAATTTAGTTTACTAACTAAATATTTAATTTCTAAGATAAACATTTATTTCCTAAACTAAATATTTAATTTGCTAACTGAATATTTCACTTAGACCTAAATATTTAACTAGCAAGTTAAACATTTAGCTAGAAAATTATAAATTTAACTAACAAGTTAAATATATAGCTAGAAAGTTATATATTTAGCTAAGTTAAATATTTAGCTAGCAAGTTAAATGTTTAGGTCTGAGGCAAATATTTAGTTAGCAAATTAAATATTTATTTAGGAAATTAAATGTTTGGTTTGTAAAATATATATTTAGATCCAAGCTAAATATTTAGTTAGCAAATTAAGTATTTAGTTTAGGAATTAAATGTTTAGCTTAGAAATTAAACATTTAGTTAGTAAACTAAATATTTAGGTGTAAATTAAATATTTAATTTATACCAAAATATTTAGTTTCTAACTAATTATTTAACTTGCAAGTTAAGTATTTTGTTAGTAAACTAATACTTAGTTGGGAATTATGATATTTATAAATGTATGAATAACATGGTGAAAATATGACTTTGAAGACAAAAAAAACCCCTATTTTTTTCTTATTAAAAGCTAAATAAACCAAAATATTTATGTTAATTTTTGACTGTGCAACTTTACAAACAGCACCCCATATGTATAAGCCATGGTGTCCAAAGCATGTGGAAAAAGTAGCGGCTTATACACGGAAAATTACAGTAACCTAATACCCTGTATATCATTTAGAGCAGCACTGCTAAGGGTTTCACATACTGAAACACTGCCAGTTCTTTGCTTGAATACAAAAAATTATTCCATACTTGAAGCTACTTTATATCATTTACTTTCTATCTCATCACCAAAGAGAAAATCTCACAAAGCATTTCTTTCAGCTGGGCAGCTGAAAGTGAACATAAAGCCATGTCTTATCTAAGGTATACAGAGAGCAGCATTGGAAGGAGCCAGCTGGATGATGCTGAAAACATTCTGACACAGTTCATTTAAAACAACGAGCTAAAAGCCTAATCAACACTGCCTCTTGCAGTAATTGTTTGCTAAACTCAGGGTCATAATTAAAAGCTTCAAACAGCGTTTTTGAAAACTACATACAACTAATTTAATACTCATGAAACTGCTACTGCTACAGTGAAACTACTGTTCTATTTCATGTTATTGGACAAAAGTAATGTTATAAATGTTAAGCAATGCCTTTTCAAGCTAAATGGAATCCCTTACAGAGTGTGGTGTTGATGAAAAGTGGAGAAAAAAGTGGACAAATTGCACTATTCACTAAATGGAGACATGCTGTGTTATAACTTCACAGTTAACTCAAGTTTGTGCCAATTCATGCTTTCTCTGTGAACAATAATGAGTGATGTCGCTGCAATACCATCTTTGTATTACAATGTCAACCAATATACCAGGAATTAATTTTGTATGCATCGTTCTCACATAATATTGATCTTTTTTAAATGCATGGATAATTCTGATAACAGGAAGTTACCTTCTGTCCAATCAGATCCACCTCCAGGCGTTTGGCATCAAAAATGGCTTGCAGTTTTTCATAATCAGTTGGTTTGTACTTGGAGCTGCCAAGACCGTTTTTCATTCTCAGTGTCAGTTGTTCTGCATGGATGAAAGCAAATAATATGGCTGAATCAGGATCACCAGAATTTTCTAGACTTTTATGTCTTAAGTTAAATCTTTATGCTGATTTCAGGGAAAATCATTTTCTAGGAAAATAATAGTGAGAAAGAAAGATGGACTGCACCTACTGAGCACTAACGGATCATTTGCATATTTCACAAATTACTGCAGAAAGTGGAAGAGAACAAACTAATAGTATAAGATTTATATGATTTAAATGCAACTATGGCCTGAAGCGAATAAAATAAATGTCTCCAAATCTTGGAAAAGTTAAGGTTTTCAAAGGATGAATTTCCAGTTCAGTGGACCACTGTTTCAGAAGTTGCCCATATTAAAGACCAGTTTTTCCAATTACTTACCAGCATCTTCTGGTTTGTAGTTTGTGGCAAAATGCTGTAGATTTCTTCCACTCATTTTTGTAGAGCTTTATTCCTGTACTCTGCATAAACAAAAAGAATTGCTGCATTAAAAAAAATCCATCCATCCATCCATTATCTTTACCCGCTTATTCCATTTTGGGTCACGGGGGTCACTGGTGCCCATGACCAGCAATCACTGTGCGAGGGGTGGGGTACACCCTGGATGGGTCGCAAGTCCATCACAGGGCTACATAGAGACAAACAACCATTCACTCTCTCACTCACACCTAGGGACAATTTAGAGTTACCAATCAGCCTAACATGCATGTGTTTGGTCTGTGGGAGGAAACCGGAGTACCTGGAGAAAACCCACACATGCACGGAGAGAGCATGCAAACTCCACCCAGAAAGGCCCCCGGACCGGGATTTGAACCAGGACATCCTGCTATTTGAGAGGCAACCAGTGGTGTAGTCTACGTAATACGTGGAGTATACCCACTAGAAAAGCTTCAGAATTTCAGTATACCCACTTAAAAGTGCCCAGTGATACAAGACATATCATGAGGCACGTGTCATTGATATGTTAAAAGCTTCCGTAACAATTTATCAGTATGCAGCGCTTGTTTATTACAATAGCTTATCCAGTAAATTATTGTATAATTAATACTTCTGTTTACTACTTCATACTTGAACATGTTTTGGTTTGATACTGTTTCATAAATTCTATAACATGTTTTTAATACAAAGCCAACTGCTGTACAAAGTTTGTTGTACAAAGTATATTTATTTAAATATAAGCATCAGAAAAATATTGGAAATGTTCAATATGCATAACAATCTAAATAAATTGACGATTGCATTGTACTAAACGGTGTACTTTGGTTTCTAAGTACAGTATACCCACTACAAAAATGTAGACACCACTGAAGGCAACGACTCTACCAGCTGTGCGACGGTGCTGCCCGTTGTACACAACAAAAAAGTCAATTTTCTGTTGAATGGTACAGAATTGTTAATAATATTCTGTAAATAAAACAGTTAATTAAACAGTTAAACAGAAAAATAGTTGTGGCTGCAGTGACAATAACCAATAAAATGAAACACATACGCAGTAATGCATGTTAAAAATAAATTTAAACAACATGTAAATTTTACTGTGCTTTAAAATACTTTAACTATGAATATTTATTTACTCTTTTAGTAGAAAGAAGGTTTACTGAACCACGTAGCTTACCGCATGCTATCCTTCAACAGTGTTAGGATTTGGTAACCACGGTAACAGCCATCTCTTCTTTTCATTGGTTAATTTACCGACACGTAAAATGCTGGGAACGCCCCAAGTGTCTACACAAGCCAATCAGGAGCCCCCATTGGTTTCCCACATTCCCACTGACGTCATGCACGCTCCCCTTGCCTGGGATTGCTGGTAGTTGCAGGGAAGGGGTTGTCTTCTTCCCTCGACCATGGACACGAGTTTCGTTCTTCGTGCATGGAAGTAAAGCGGCTGGACTTTACAGATGAAGTTACACGTTCCCATGTAGACCCGAGCTGCAGTTTCTCCAGCGCAACAACGGTCCTCCTAAGGTTTGTGAACGTTTTCGACGCCTCATTATCAACTGCGAAACTGTTTTGGGCTAAAATGTTGCGGAGGGGAGAAAAGGAAAGCATCTCTGCGCGAGGAGGAGGAGGAGGGAAGACTCAGAAAGTCTGGGATTCACCCTGAAAAGAAAGTGTTTTCATTTCCGTGCGTTTTCATTTGCGTGCGTTTTATAAGCCAAGCTTTTTAAAGCTTCTTCACAGCAGGGGACAATCTAAATCTACGCTAATCTTGTTGTGAGTGTTTCACCGCGGATACCTTTGAAGGGGTGCTCGCGCTCAAACCGTTGCTGTGAAAAACTTGGCTTCATGTAAACGCAAAAGAAGAAAAAAAAAAACGCTGTGACGGTCTAGTTTCTTGGAAAAACAAAACACTTAACTCTCGTGACCTTACAAACGTGCTGGGAAAGGTGAAGGCGAATGCAGGTGAGCTTGGAGTTAGGGAATCTCCGGAATGCGACCTCGCGCAGGGGCGGAGACCCGAACTCTGCCCCCACAAGATTGACTTCACCTTTATTAGCTCCCTCGTTTACCCGCTGCGTTCAAACTACGCCATATTTAATTACCCTAATCTGCATTTTTTTTTACCCAAATGAATTTATTCGTTATTTTTTTGTACCGAAACCTTATTTGTACTTCCATTGCTTTGCACTTTATCTTTGTTGCTGCAATGACCTCCAGGAAAAAGTCTTTTTTTGCATGCATACATTCAGGCGTAGTGTTCCTAATAGGTTATATATGTCTCAGATTATTAAGCTTACATTCTACATAGTATATTCATGATCTTTTTTGGTTATTTTTTACTACATATCTGCAATTAACGGTTCTAGCCTATATATAATTAGTAAATAAGCTCATAGCATAAATTGTTCTAACTGCATGTACACGTGATCAAGAGGTAAAAAGATATATGTATATATTGTCTCATATATTTTATTAACGGGCAGCATGGTGACGCAGCTGGTAGAGCTGCTGCCTCTCTGCGAGAAGGTTGCTGGTTCAAATCCCGGTCCGGGAGCCTTTCTGGGTGGAGTTTGCATGTTCTCTCCGTACATGCGTGGGTTTTCTCCGGGTACTCCGGTTTCCTCCCACAGACCAAAAACATGCATGTTAGGCTGATTGGTGAGTGAGAGAGTGAATGGTTGTTTATCTCGTTTGTCTCTATGTGTCCCTGCGATGGACTTGCGACCTGTCCACTGCTGGACATGGGCACTGGCGTCCCCCATGACCCAAAAAGAAAGAAGCGGGTAAAAGATCATGGGTGGATGGATGAATGTTTTAACAGAAAGTGCAATGTCCACCATCTTTACCCGCCTCCTTTTTGGGTTGCAGGGGTCTGGTGCCCATATCCAGCAGTCACCGTTCAAAAGGTGGGGTACACCCTGGACTGGTCGCAAGTCCATCACAGGGACACATAGAGACAAACGAGACAAACAACCATTCACTCTCTCACTTACACCTAGGGACAATTTAGAGTTACCAATTAGCCTAACAGGCATGTTTTTGGTCAGTGGGAGGAAACTGAGATAGGCCCCGGGATTTAATCCGGCGACCTTCTTGCTGAGGGGCAACAACTCTACTGTGCTGCAGTTCTTTATGGAGTATGGAATGTCCATGTGCTGAAGAGAACGCCTCACACCTGCATTAAGGACCTTGCATACGCCATCCAAAGCCACAAAATCGTTTCTCATTGGCGTAGTTGTGTGACAAAAATCGCGTTTTGCTCTCAGAGCAGCTTTGCCTGCTCCTTCTCGACACAAGGTCAGGGCTGAGCTTTTTCTCACAAGAGTGTGTGCTAAGTATTGTGTGATTGGTCAGAAGTTTGTGGACGTGTTCTTCAATGCAGAAATGTGCTCGGACTTTCAGCTTTATGTAAACACAGCAATGAAGGCTACTTATGGGACAGATCTGGTTGGCAGGCCACAGACTGATGAAGTCTTCTGGATGGAAGACGAAACGTTTCTCCCTTAAAGAAACTGGTCCAGATGAAATGATTTAACCTTTTTTTGTTATTCAGCTGTATGCCTCACTAAATTAGTCAAATGGCCTAAAACTTCTGGATGGATATTGTGCAGAAGTTGTGCATGGAGGAGAAGTCTGTCTCCTGAGAAGTTGCGCCTTCTTCCTGATAGATTTGTGGCCAAACGGCGGATGCAGGGACGGAGTGGAGACTGGCGGGAATATACCCGTGCAGTGTTGTATACTGCAGTGGGAGGAGTTTTCCAAGAGCTATGCACTCGTGTCTCGTGGACTATGAAAGGTCTGTGCGAAAACGAACATCCTGCAACCATGTCACTTGCAAGTCGATGTTCGGCTTTGTTTGGAGTATACTGGACCCCTTGGCAAGAGCAGACTTCTTCACATCTTGCAGAGTATAAAGAAACCTTCACTCTTATAATTCCAACTTAACGTTGTCTTCTTGATTATATGCTTGTCTGGTTCTGCCATATTTGTTTACCTACACAGACTATAGCCTCTTTTCCATAGCTCCTCTTCAGCACGACTCGACTTGTTTTCGGTATGGTTTTGAGCCCTTTTCCACTATCACTTTTTCATGGAACCGGCACCTGTTTTAGTCAATGTACCAAGCGAGCTGAGCCGGCACCAAAATGTGTCGTCAGAACACTGTCGGTCACTGATTGGTCAGGGGGCAGTCACTAGAGGGGTTTGAACATTTTTCAAAACATTCGATCCGCCATTTGCAATTACCGGTGTTCGAACTCGAGCAGCGATTGAACCTATTCTTAATCTTTTAAAAACAATAATGACAACGTCGTGGTCTAATGCTGAAGTGCAGGCGTTTTTTGTGCTTTGTGGCCGACGACAAAATTCAGAGCGAGCTAGATGGAGCTCCGCCGGTCCTCGACTTTCTCCGGTCCTCCCCACCAGAGCCTCGGAGCCCCCTCAGGCCATGCAGGACGTCATCTCCCCAGCTACGAGCTCCGCCGGTCACCACGGAAGACCCTCTGTGCTGCTGACTCGCAGAAGGCCTTTGCCTGGACCCCAGTCTCACGAGATCATGAAGGCCGAACTCCGATCCTGGCAGACGGGTGGACCGGGACGGGTCTGGGACGGAGGTGCTGCCACTGCAACATCACCACATTGTGCTGCCGCTTCAGGCAAAAACAGTGCCTTTTATATCGGCGAGTTATTTTAATGGAATGGCCGATGCCCGATATTGAACTTTAACGCTAATATCGGCCGATACCATGCCAATAATATTGTGCATCCCTATTTTATTTTATGGTTTACATAAAGTATCTTTAAAAGTACGAGTATTAAAAAAAAACACAGTTTGGGCTCAAACAAGTTAGAAGAAAGAGACAACCCATCATTAAAAATTCACTAGTTTCACTTCAAATGCAACAAAGGAATGGAAATGAAAATTGGACATTTACCGGTATATTAATTCTGAAAGCAGTTTTTATACATGTAAATAACAATGGTTCTCAGTGGAAA